ACACTTACTAAGCTGACAGGCCGGTAGTTCGCGGGCAGAACTCTGTCCCCGCCCTTAAAAATCGGACAGATGATTGCTTTCTTCCATTCCGAAGGTAGGGCACAGCTGTCGAGTGATATTGTAAACATGCATGTAAGAGGGCCACTTAGCTCAGCGGCCAATTCATGCATAAGCTTCGGATGAATTGAATCAGGACCAGAAGCTTTGGAAGGATTTAGCCGTTGCAATAGCCCGAAGACTTGTGTCTCCGTTATGCTGATTTCAGTTAGGCAAGAATCCTCTGGAACTTTTGTGACCAGCTCAACTTGAGGTAGAGAGGCCTCATGAGAAAAGACACCAGTATACTGTTCGCTAAGTATACAGGCATTATCATAGTCGGTATGCCCATGGGTCCCGTCCGCTCGTAGTAAAGCCGGTATAGACGAGTTTGTACCGCTACGTCTCTTTACGTAAGCAAAGAACTTCTTTGGATTTGTTACCGCTGCGTTAGCCATATCCTCCTCGTACTGAAGACGAAGAGCTCTAAGATGATGCTTACATTTATTGCTAACCGCTCGATAGCTTTCGTAGGTGCTGGTTGATGAAGGCGCTTGGTAAGTTAGCCAGCACTTAGAGCGCTTCCTGAGCAAGTATTTACCTGTATGATCTGTCCATGGAGGCTGCGCCCGTGTCACCCTTCTCTTAGTGAATGGGATGTGGGGAGCAGAAATCTCGGTGAGGTATGCCTTAAATTTCTCCCAGGCTGTCTCGACGGTGACAGCCACGGTGATCGCACAACGCAAAACTGAAGCTTTGTCTCGCATTGCGTTAAAGTCAGCCCGCCAAATATTTGGACATGCCTCAGCGGTAGCACATCGAAAGGATGTGCAGACATGGTCACTGGATCCTAGAGGACAGTTGTAGGTAATATCACTTACGAAATCGTGTGACTTCGCAAAAATGAAATCCAAGGTAGACGGAATTTTGTTGCGCATATATCTTGTCGGGAGATCCACGAACTTATGCAAAGGCGGTTGCAACACGGACATCAGGGAAACCCCTCTTTCTCCCGTGTCTCCGTAAACTACCTGTGCTGTGGATATAGCCATGGCTCCCCAAAATGGAAACCATGACAAGGACACATATGCAATTCCCCTCGTTCGTAAAATTCAACATGAAAGAGAAATGGGCTCAGCAATCAGCATCCTGTAACGGTGTAGCACTTTGTATACCGTAAAATAGCAACTTACAGTTTGCCAGGAACCTTGCTATGACTGCCATGAACACAGGGATACTGCACGTACCGGTACGGGTACTCATTAGGCAACCCCGTCCACTTTTGCCGTTCATAATTCTGTGGAATCACAGCCGTATGCTTGCAAAAAGCTGCGGCAGTTGCAAATTTAATTACATCGGACTTAACCTCATCAAGTTTCCGATAATATTACGCACCAAAACGCAGAATCTTTCAGATTCATCCACCATGATGACAGTTACAAATGTGGCGCCAAGTGATTTCCAATACTAATGTAGTCTGTCACAACAGCTAACTATGAGAACCACATTAACCGTCTTCAATACAAAACATACACCAGGTTAACATGTATATACTATATATATATGCAAACCGCCATTTAATGGCAACCTCTCCAGTTGGCCTAGCATACCTACGGAACCGAACCCGTGGCTAGGCAAATCTCAGATGTGAGAGTCCCGGTCCGGCGAGATGACGTGTTCTTCCTGGTTCTGGTGTGCTGCGACCTTCCCTTGGAACATACTTGTGAACTTTTGCATGGACATGGTAGGCTAATTCAATTGACGAATTAGCATGTACGTATCCTACCGTGTCGCTTATCTGTTCCACGTGCTATCCTTCCTTTTGTGCCCCAAACTTATTTCACTTGGCGCATTTGGTGAATCCTTGCACTCACACCGGTGAGAAACTGGTCCTCAATTGTATTTTTAGTTTGCTGATTACCAATTCGGTAGATGGCACATTTACTGGGATAGATGTCTTTAGTGGTAAATTGCTGTGGGTGATCAAATCTCCCCCGCTCATTTCACAGAGCCTCGGTGGCCTCCATGTAAGTGCATAAAAGTAACCTCATGCTTTAGTTTCTGACGAAGTCACATCACTACAATATCGTCCCTTCTTTGGATGGTCAACTCTACATTTTGCAACAAAACCTCTCTCAGCACCACTGGCGCGATGCCTCGTTGAAGGCCTTGCCTCTGACCGTGGATCTGCTGTTTGCTTCTAAATTCATGCTAACGGACGACTCCATTTTAACCGGTGGAAAGGATAACTCTTTGTTTTCTTTTGATCCGCTATCCGGAAAGGTATGCAATATAAACTTTCGAAAATTCACCAGTCAAACTTTCTTATTGTCTAGGGAGCCTATTTTCTTATTTTGTCATGCTTTTCACACTTTACTTTTGACGTATTCACTATTTTTACTGATACCTACTGACTCAGCTTCGCTGCTAGCGTTCTTTGTTTTGCTTGCCGAATGTAGGACGTCACAAATTCGTAGACAAAAGTTGACACCGCAATGAAAGTGTAATTCGCTGACAACCAAACTGGGTGATGTTCTGTGTCTGGTTTTGTACTTGAGTCACCGTTATCTTACCCAGTGCTTGACTGGAAAATTTACAAGACTTGTCTCTGTACCTTCAATGTTAACTTTGCCATCGTTGCCTTGCTAAATTTCCTGTAGGTGTGATGCGGAGATCTCCCTAGTGTAGAATTTGATTGGACGTGACGCAGTAAATGCTTCAAGAAAACTCGCCAAAGCCGGCTTCTCCTCACACCACAGGCAACCATTTTGTATGCCTTTTGTTTAGGCGTATGCTCATTGACCCTGATGTTTGTTTGGGACATTTAGCTTTCGCATTTAATTTCCGCTCGCCTTCTGCTTCATTCCCTGTGTCGTTATACGTTTGACATCGATGTGTCAGTCCCTAGTACTTATAAAGCCTGTTAATTAATGATGTGACATGCGTCTGTGCTAGTGAAAGTAAGGGAAATTTCTTGTGCTAAAATTGGAGGGACGTGCGATTCCAACGATTAGCACACAAGGAATGGCAAGACCTAGTGGATCAGGATCGATCCTACTGAGAACGTGAACAGCTCATCATAAACCTGTAACCGCAAGCCTCAAAGTCAGTTTGAGTGGTACAAGCATATAAACATGATATATGGCAAGTTTAAAAGCTGATTAATAACTGACTAAAATAGTTACAAAACTATTGTGTGTTGTCCAATCGAGAACACTAAATTCCACGACTCGTTTTGAACTTATTTGTTCTCATCAGTTGGAATAGCACGCATCGGACCCGGGACCATTGGGATGTTAATTGATTGCCTTTTTAGCCCACGGTTAAGACGGACAACGATTGGCTTAACGGTTACTGACTGATTGTGGGATCATTTTGAAGTTCTTGTTGTGTGATTGAACTGCGACGCGCATTCTTAGTGTAAACTGCGATTCACACTGAAGTGGACCTTTTTGTAATTCGGTCGCTGTAACCGTAACTGATTAAGTAACTAATTCGCATTGTTCAAAAATATACAGTATTTCGCAACACCTGGCAAGAACTTTGGTGCTTTTGATTATGATTGTTTATATTTACACCACACAGCAGCGTTGTCCATAAAAGTCATCTCCAGTACACCGGTATGCAGTCCCGACGCTTCGCTGCCACGCAACCACCGCCACTCGCGCATGGGCTAAAGATACTGCGAGATTCAACCGATTCCTACGCAGACGCGAACTGGCGCCATCGGATTACATGGTAGGCATTCTTTCCTTTGAAGGTTTGCGTCAGAAACAGCTGCTTCCTTTCGGCTGTCTGCGTTCGTACTTTGCGACTCCTCTGCTTCATGTGGGTATCGATAAAGCGCTCCGGATATCCGTTCTAGAGAAGGGCCCCCTTGATTCGCATGAGCTCTTTTTCAATGGTGTCGTTAATGCTTGTTGAAGACAACAAGCAATATGCGGCACAGTAGCTGAGGTGTTTCCCACCTCTAGCTAACGCGTATGATGATGATGCTTCTCTTACGACAGGTGCCACCGGTCGATTCGTTAGGAGGTACCATTCCTAACACGCGGGTCATCTTAAGTGCGGGTATTCAGTATATACAAAAACTAGCATGTTGCTGTAGGCACCGCTGACGCAATCGGTTCAGTCTCAGCTGAGTTGATGAAACAGAATTTGTCGAGGCTCAGGGACTAGTTTCAGTTCCATAAAACTGACTTCCAGTCTTACCTCCAGCCACCATGCCATATGATAATCAGTCTGGAAGTTTAAGACTGGTTGCTCCAGTAGCCTCGTTTAAACACTGACTGCACACCGGTTATAAGGGCAACCGCTTGTATACCTCGTCAACCCATTGAGCTATACTGTTTGAGGCCCTTAAGCCCCTTAGCAGCTACTACAACCAGGTTGGTTATTGGTTAGAGATCAGACAAACTTAGTCTACTAGTCATCCAGCCTAGGTGTTCGAAATTGGGTGACACCACTTTCTGTGAAACGGAATCGTTGTCACAACCACTGTCTTGCGGACAGGCTTTTGAGCCGAAAGTTTTGGTTGATGACCTTAGTCACTCTCCTGTCTATGTCTGGGCGCTCTGACAATATCTTAGCCCACGTACAACCTTGACAACTTCTTCAAACTTCGACCATATTTTGCACCGGTCGTCGAGTAGCTTATCGAGGGCCGCCTTATCTGCCGCATGCAGCAGAGTAAATTAACGAAAACATGTTGCTGCTGCCGGCTTCTTCCTTTCCTTTCCGTCTTTTTCTTACTCCCCTTCCATTCCCCAATACTAGCTTTCCTCCTATAATTTCCATTGTAATTGACAGCAACCGTAATGTCACTGGAATAGAACCACCTGCAGCTATGTTCCCGCACCGCCCACTGGACACCAATCACCAACAGCTCCCTATAGGGCCACACTGTCCAGTTCAACATTCGCACTTTAAGACAAATAAGTCAACAGGCTGCACTGACACGCACGTAGACACAGCGTGTTGACGCGTGTTGTGTGTCCGAAGCTAAGATCAATGACCTTACGGAATTGTGGAACTAACTGCACTCTGTTTGTCCTCTCGCTATTAGTTGTACGCATCCAAAGACGCTGATGCGGCAACTAATTGTCAAGTTGGAGTGGACATTCTCAGCTGCAACCATGAGTTCTCATTGCTTGTTTGGATTCCCGTGAGCAACCATTTGTGTACAGTCCCTTCGACTACAACTACGATTGATTCGCGAAATAGCACTAGACCCTGTTTGTTTGTGGTTTCCGCTTACGCCCCCACTGACTGCAGTTTTTATGCTACCAAGAGCGCCTTCTGCCAAGAACTGAATATGCTACCACTCAGTGTTATTAGTTCAGATATCATATATCTTGCAGGGGATATGAATGCGCAAGTGAGTCTTCTGAGCACCACAGAAGCTCAGCTAGGTGGTAAGTATGAACTAAACTCCGATTGCACGGACAACGGTGCGCGTCTTTTGCAGCTGTGTGCGGAGAAACAGCTGTTTCTTAGCAGCCTCGCTTCTGGACTCAGTGGGCACCAAATTGCCACTTGGCATTCCCCTTTAGTTGACCAGCGATGAACTCAAACAGATCTTGTTGCCATAAATTTCAGGTGGCCCGCTTCAATCCTAGGTTGTCGCTCGTTCTGGAATACCTGCGTCAACTCCGACCAAGCCTTGGTACGTTGTTGTTTTTCCATGTACTTTACCGGAAGGCGTACCGAGCGTCACCCTTGTTTGGCAATTGCGAAGTTATCCGAACCTTCGGTCAGGCAGATCTATTAGTATACACTGCGTACCGAACTTTCGCTGTCTCCTGGTAACACTGACCTTCAATGGAATAGGATCTCGGCCGTCATGCACTATGCGGGAGACTATGCTTGTTATACTGTCAGTCGTCACCTCACCAGGCACTGGGTATCCGAGAGTTCGGTGAACCTGTTGGTATCCGGAAGAAAACTCCCGGCTGGCTCTGAGCACAATGTGACCAGACGGAATATCAAACGCGAACTAAAGCGAAGCCTACGTGTTGACAAGGAAGCCTGGTGGACCAGTGAGACTCAATAAATGGAGGAGGCAGCAGCAGTTGGGAAATCTCACCAATTCTTCCAGCTGATCCGCACCACTGGTCACAGGAAACCAGGCGTCAGTGAGGCAATCAGAGACAGTTCGGATGCACTGATACACAATAATGAGAACCGTATGGTTCGTTGGACCGAGTACTTTCATCATCAGTTCACTTGGCCCTCCGCTTTTGGACTTATTCCTACTCAGGTGTTGGATGCTAAGCCGTGACCACTTAGTTTAGTGACTCCGTCGAAGGCTGAAGTCAGAAACGCGGTCGCATCCCTTAATCGTTTTCCAGCTGCTGGCTCGGATTCCCTCGTACCCGCACTATTTGAGGATGGTGCTAAGGTCCTCTCCAAAGCACTGGCATCTCAGTTTGAACAGGTCTGGAAGGCGGAGGCCATCCCAGCCTACTAAAGTGAGTCGATTATAGTGGCAATATGGAAGAAACCACTCGAACCGACTGTGCTAATCACCACGGTATTAGCCTAATGTCGGTAGTGACAAAATCACTGGCCTCACTTCTCGTTCTTCGTCTCATTGCGGAGCGGGACTACCGGATTAGGGGAGAGCAGACAGGTTTCCGCCCCCGGACGGGGCTGCATAGACCACATATACACACTCTGCGACAGGAACTAGAGCAGCGCAGCACGTACCGCAGACCGATAATAGCTGTGTTCCTGGACTTAAAGTGTGCATTTGATTCAGTAAATCGATGCACTCTGTTCCAACTACTTGCGCGGGAAGGTGTTACCATAAAATATGTGAACATTTTACCTGCCCTTTACTCGAACCTCACAGACCGCGTCTGGGTCCACGGTGACCTAATAGATATCTTCCCGACAGCAAGTGGCATTCGTCAGGATTGCACAATTTCCCCATTTTTGTTCATCGTGTGAGATCGAACTGTTGAAGTTAAACAAAGCCGCGGGACCTGATGACCTTCCTCCAGCCCTCTTCAAATTCGGGGATCTGCTCTTGTGGATAATTTACACGAGTTACTAGTCAAACTGTGGGAGCAGGAAACTGTCCCAACCGATTGGAGCCGCTCCGTCATAGTCCCAATTTACAAAGGAGTCTCACGATCGGAATGCGGCAGCCATAGAGGAATCAGTCTGATCTCCATTGCCTCCAAATTGTTTTTCTCTGTCATCCTTCACCGACTGACTGGCACTCGTGAAAGCCAGATTCGTGAAGAGCAAACTGGATTTCGTCGAGGTCGTGGCTGCATTGACCACATCTTCACCTTGAGTCAGTTGTTGGAGCACCGTCACATATATTGGCGGCTCACCGTTGTCGTGTTCCTCGATATCAAAGGTGCATTCGACTCGGTGGATAGACATGCACTTTGGGACTGTCTACTCAGAAAAGGTGTACCTGGTAAATATGTGAATATTGTCCGAGCATTATATGCGCGTAGCTCGGGCAGAGTGAGGGCTTACGGCAAGTTGTCGTCACCCTTTAATATTTCCAGCGGCGTGAGACAAGGATGCCCGCTGTCACCTTTCCTCTTCAACTTCGCTGTTGACGAAGTCATGGAAATCGCGTTTACAGGACACGACTTAGGAGGTGTGGATCTGCTCCCAGGAGAATGACTTCTTGACTTGCAGTATGCTGATGATATTGCCCTAATCTGCGACAGCTCACAAACGTGCCAAGCGGCACTGGACAGATTAGCACTAGCTGTCCGTCACTTCGGGCTTTGCTTCGCACCCTCGAAATGCAAAGCGTTTCTCCAAGATTGGTCTGGACCGCCTCCTACGCTGACCCTTGGTGGGGATCAGCTGGAAGTCGTTCAAAAATTCAACTATCTGGGAAGTTGTATCAGCGGCAGTGAGATTGAAGATGAGATCACGAACCGTATGGCAAAAGCTCGAGGCGCTTTTGCTGACCTTCGCCACTTATGGCGCCGGCGCGACATCACTCTTGCCTTGAAGGGTAGAGTGTATAATGCAGCAGTACGTACGACCCTACTGTACGGTTGTGAAACCTGGCTTAAAGCAGCGGACCTGAAGAGGCTAGTTACGTTCGACCACCGGTGCCTTCGTAATTTAGCTCACATCTGGTGTGAACACCGCGTGAGCAACGAGCGTGTTCGACGCCTTGTTTATGGCACAGGAAAAGGAACTGAACCGCTCAGCACCGTTATTTCACGCATCAGGCTCCGATGGCTCGGCCACATGTTGCGCATGCCAGCCCACCGACTCTCGCGACGTGTGTTGTTTGCGCGCCGGGGGTGTGGATGGAAGAAGAGGAGGGGTGGCCAAGCGATGACTTGGTCGAGAGGAATGAAGGCCCTCACTTCTGAGCTGGCCTCGGCTGGAGCGTCTCGGCTCCCTGGTTGGGGTCCGAAAGACGATGAACACGTTTGGTTGGACACACTTACTGATATGGCTAGGAGCCGACCTCAGTGGCATTCGTGCTGTGAGTTTCTTTGTCCCACCCCATCCCTCTTAGCCTCCCCCTCCAACCACGATCTCATTATTTAGGCTTAAATAATTTTGCATAGTAATTTTTTGGTGCACAGCAGCCGGCTGGTAGCTTACCGGAACGATGCCCATCTGTTAACGGTAGCTCAGCCACCTTGCACCAGTTGCATTTTTTTCTCCTTTTTTCTTTGTATTGCGGCACAGTAGCTGATGTGTTCCCCACCTCCAGCTAACGTGTAGTATGATGATGATGATGGGCTTCATCATGGGGTGTTTCCTTGCAGCATCTCAGGATGCAGGTGTTGAAATGCTGTCTAGCGAAAACCTAATTTGTCTTGCTTATACGAGCGATATTGTCTTGCTGTTTAAAAATGTTGGGGCGGCCCGGTCGGCCCTGAATAATTGCAGTAGAGTGGCCTCATCATTTTGTATTCACTTCGCACCTTTAGAATGTTGTGTTGCTGCAGGACGACTAGTCACTTGATGAACTCTTGACCCTAGCTATCGAGAAACAGGTGGTTGATCAATTTGCTACCTTAGCAGCTGCATCAGCAACGATGAGCACATAGAGACAGGCTAGTTTTTATGTTGCAAAAGCTAGTACTACCTTCTTGAATCTCTTTTATCTGTGGCGTCAGAAAGGCGTTTCTTACGGTCTTAAAAGGCCGTGCTTACAGAGTCACTGCCGGAAATGAAGTCACTGACGACCAAACTTAATGCCATCGGTCCTTGTCGCGTTCCAGGTGACCCGCCTTGTGTTGGGCTCTCGACGTTGTCTTGACATGTCTCGCAGTCGGTGTCAGTTTCGCGGTCTGCTGTCATCTTTTACTTCGACCGCATTTTTAATGTGTTTCCTGCTCATTTATCTACCGGTCAATGGCTGATTATGAGGCAAAGTGTTAATAACCGCAAGGAATCCGTTTCCCTGATACAGCCTTATCTTTGCACACTAGGCAGTCGTTTATGCCGGTGTGTTGTTGACAAGGTGTATGCACCTATACCCTGAATGTTTACTTGGGGCATTAAGGTCCTACGCTAAGCCCGTCTTCTCTCCGCCTTATTTTTCTTCCCTAGCTCATCGTGGTTGTATGACAATGAAGCGTCATTTCAAATGACTGATGTGCTACTGTTGATGATGTTAATGATGATCTCAGGTGATGTTTGATTTTGTTTGCTTCTTACACGCAAGGATGTGTCTAGTGCTGGGTAACTTCAGCATCCCAGAGGTTTACTAGGCCGATGTTTTCTGCAGCTCGATTACAAGTACTTTCGCTGCTGATTTTTTAAGGTTTCTTTTACAAGTACCGTTGCATCAATTCCGACTGAGGTACATGAATGCCCACGTACCTTTTATTTTGTACATTGTTTTTGCCAACACTCGTTTTTGTAGGTGACATTGTTTACGGCTGTCCTCTTGGCACGTGATCATGTTTGTTTATTCTTGACTTTTGCCATGCCTAGGTATCACCAGAGTGCTGTTGTGTGATTTCCCAACATAAAGTGTGCGAACTTTCAAACAATATGAACCAAAGCTTACGGTTTTCATTGCGAAGTTTCAGTGGACGATACAGTTCAAGTTGCCTGGGATAAATCTTAATCCTATCTAGCAATGTCTCTGCTTCTTACAGCTCGCTTTCGAGGATAAAACACGCTCAGCCCTTTAGATAGATACTACTGGCAGGCACACACCCACCAAGCTGTTTCATCAACCAGCACAGATGTAAGCCACATTTGTAGAAGCAGGGCTCTTGTGCGGAATGCGTTTGGCTGATGGAACTTCAAAGAATCCGAAAAGTTCTCTAATTTTGTCAAAAGGCGCTACGGCTCGTCTTCGTGAATTCCAGCGTTGACGCGGGCCGATAGAACTCATGCTTGTGCGGATTATGACGAAGCCTGTGTATTTGGTGGGTAGTATGCAGGGGCCTTTGTACATGAGACCGCACTGACGAGTTAGGTGCGCAAGTGAGTACTAATTAACATTGATCTACATTGTATCTACAATCAGTCTGTTTTTCCCGACACCTGCTACGCATGTTTGTTCCTTGCCTGCCGTGAAGAATGTTTTTTGTCCATTTGACGCCGAGTGGTGCAATGTTCTGAGTGACCATTCTTGGAGCTAACAACTAAGAATGAATTTGTTTATCGATAGGCTGGATTGCACATCTATCCACCGAACGGAAGGCACCTTTAATGTCGAACAACGCGACTAGATTGGGGACACCAATATATTTCGCCATGCTTCAACAATTGATGCTAGTCACTGTGGCCAGTACAGTCTCGGTCCTGAGGCGTTTTTCCTTCTCTAACTAACCTGCGCCATGATTATCTTGAAGAGTGTGTCTGACCTTCCGATTTAGAGCGCGTGCGATCCTCTTTACTTAGTGTGCTACAAAGTAGAACGTGGCACAGCCGTCATTAAGGGCATTTTTTCATATAACCAGACCACCGGTTTAGGTTTTATTGTTAGTGATGCGGGGCAGTTATAACCTCAGTAATCTTTTTCATCATTAGTACCTTATCCGCACATCATAGCCTCAGACGTTTTTGCTTGGCACGATGTTTGTAAGGGAAGCTATCTTTACTTTAAACACACCTACCATATTGAGGTTCCACATTAGGACATTTCACTTTCCCTGTTGATACTTCTCATCGGACCATCTCTCTTGAGTTGCGGTAGTATGGCAGAGATGCACCTGCGTAAAGTGCTAGCGTATTGCCGTCGTTGGAGACGGTTTTTCTCGCGGTGTAGACATTACTCCTGCCTTTCATGGATGGCATACCAATAAAATTTCAGGTGGCGCTAGCCATTTGTTGGGTCCGAACGAGTGGAATTTGACCATTTGATGTAGTTATTCTCACGCGCATGTTTGACTTTTCGTGTCAGTCTGTTGGCTGTTCGTCAAACTGCCGTGACTACCAATTCGACGTTCCAACTGTTATAACCCGCTCCTGCACACTGCACAGCTCATTTAGGATCTCATTCCCAATACGGATGCTTTTTGGTCAGAGGCGCGTTCATCTTTCAGCTATTGTTCGAGCGAAATTCCGCACTCGTAAATCCAGCTGGACCGCTGAGCGTTCCACCAAACGTTGAATAATTGCTCTTTTCTTTCAGATTACTTTAGTGTTGCTTGTTCCAGCTACCTGAAGCAAGTCCCTCTTCTGTGGCAATGTTTTATGATGAAACAAAACGTATGCTATCAAATAGCTTTTCCATGTTCTTGGCGTCTGATTCTAACTTGGTTGTGTCCTGGCGTGTTGTTTTTGCTTGGACATGACCCGCAATCAATCCATATCTCACCGTTAATCAATTCATTCTACTTGCATCATCAGGTCCTTTACAATTGTTCGCAGAGCGGTTGCCGTAGTCTGGATGCATCTGACTTTCCTGTCGCAGATAATGAAAACGTACGGTCGATGATTTTAGTATACCACACTAGCAACATTGTTCGGGCAGTGCATATCCCAACTGGGTCGGAACGATGGAACTTAAGTATTCGGACCAACGATCTTTGTTTAATCCGCGATCGGCCCTCCACTTCAACAACACTTATGCGACAATCTGATCCAATGTGCAGCTCGGCAAATGGGGGTAAAAAGGTGAGTTAGCGTTTTGTGCTTTCAGTTATCCCATTTTATTTGGATTGTTCCAGCTTATCCGTGGTAACAGTGTCATTTATTAAACAAACTGACTGGCTGTCAAATGTTGCTTTTACAGGTGACATTGCTCTTTTCGGATTCGACCAAGTTTTTATGCAGGCGTCGCTGAAGAAGCTGATGTTGCGTGCTGCATGCGACTCGCACACTCGCTGCTCTTAAAGTCGCATCCAAGTTTCTTGAAATGATGGCTAAATTCACTATACTTTCTCTGGTGGTAGCATTAAAGGAGGGCATATTACACTCGTTAACACTCGTTTGGCTTCTCACGGCCTCAGGGATTTTTGAAGACAGCGGGATGTGAGCCACTCTGTGGTTTCACTGCACGCTATATACGGTAAGCGACTGATTATGTGGCCATCGATGCTTTTGAGTTGCCACCAATTTTGCTAGAACTTCCGAATAATTCACACCCTCGTGCTCTCCAGCTGATCGCCTGACACCACAATGGGGTGTCTGCTTGACTCAAGCCTTACTAATCACATCGGGTCCTTCACATGCCACTTTGGTGTGTATTGTTCTCCGTAGACTTGGACAGCCAGTGTCAGTTTTAGCATTTAGCTGCAATTTCAACGACTATGCTCCGGAGCGTGCCGCTTGTCCGGATGCCATGCCACCTGCATCATCATCCTCATCACCAGTACACGTTAGCTGAGGGTGAGGAACACAGTACAAAAAATAAGAGACTAAAAGTATCATACTACAACAAATATGACCTTAAATATTATATTATGCGTTTTACATGGGATTGAGATTGGAGTGGAACCTAACAAGAGAGGGATGAACAATGAAACGCACAACACAAATGTCATTGGGGATGGCTTTTCGACATATCAACAAGTGTGCAACCAAACGTGTTCATCGTCCTTAGGACCCCAGCCAGGCAATCGGGATGCACCAACCGACGCCAACTTTGAAGTGAGGGTTTTCATTCTTCTCGACCAAGTCGTCGCTTGACCTCCTCCTCCTCTTCCAATCGCACCCCCCGGCGCGTAAACAATGCACGTCGCGGCAGTTGGTGTGCTGGCATGCCCAACTCGTGGCCCAGCCATCGGAGCTTGGTGCGTGATATAATGGTGCTGAGGGGTTCACTCCCTGTTCCTGCACCAAATACACTACGCCGAACACGCTCATTGCTCACACCGTGCTCTCACCAGACATGAACTAAGCTGCGAAGGCAGCGATGATCGAATATGACGAGTCACTTTATGTCTGTCGATCTGATGGGCCAGGTTTCACAACCACATAGGAGAGTTGAACGGACGGCTGCATTATAAACGCTGCCTTTCAGGGCGAGAGTGATGTCGCGTCTGCGCCGCTGGTGGCGGAGATTGCTAAAAGCACCTCTAGCTTTTGCTATACGGTTCGGAACCTCAACTTCAATCCCACGGGTGCTAATATAGCTGCCCAGGTACTTGAATTCCTGGACGACTTTTAGCTGATCACCCCCAAGCGTTAGCGCAGGGTTGGACCCCTGCCAATCTTGGATGAGTAGTTTGCATTTCGATGGAGCAAAGCATAGCCCAAAACGGTTGACAGCCAGTGCTAATCACCCCAGTGCTGCTTGGCATGTTTAGGCGTTGTCACAGACTTGGGTAATATCGTCCTCATACTCCAAGTCAAGAAGTCGCTCACCAGGAAGTAGCTCCACCCCTTCTAGGTCGTGTCCAGCGAATGCTGTTTCCATGACTTCGTCAACTGCGAAGTTAAATAGGAAAGGCGACAGCGGGCATCCTCCTCTCGGGCAGCTGGTGATACAGAAGGGTGAAGACAGTTTGCCATAAACCCCAAATCTGTCCGAACTATGCGCGCACAGCGTCTTGATACTGTTTACGTGTTTCTCAAGCGCACCTTTCCTCAGCAGACAGTCTCAAAGGGCACATCGATCGACCGGATCGAAGTCACCCTTTATGTCAAGAAACACGGCAACGGCAGGTCGCTAACAAACATGGCGGTGCTCCAACAATTGACGCAAGCTAAAGATGTGGTCAATGCAGCCCCGACCTCGACGAAACCCGGCTTCCTCTTCACGTATCTGGCTTTCACGAGTGCCAGTCAGTCTGTGGAGAACGACAGACGCAAGCAATTAAGCGCAATTGTGATCAGACTGATCTCGCATTCCGAACGTGAGCCTCCTTTGAAAATTGAACAATGACGGAGCTGCTCCTGTCTGTCGGTACAGTCTCCTGCTCGCAAAGTTTCGCTAGCACTTGGTATACAGCATCTACTAGATACTTCCCCTGAATTTGTAGGGCGCTGTGGGAACTCTATCTGCCCCTGCTTCCTTATGCAATTTCAAGTCTATCTCACGTTCGACTTCTGCACGTGAGGGCAGATCTCAGGAGACGGCATAGGGAAAAGGGCGCTCAATGCTCGAAAAAGGAAGCGATAACACACGATAACTTGCCCTGCAAAGTGTTCGACCAAACGCTACAAGCGTTTTGACAGGCTGTGGATCGGCTGTCCACTCTCGTCGCGTATGACCTCGCTAACACCAGGTCTTTTGCTGCCTATTTCCCGCATCAGACGGTATAACTTACGATGATTACCAACGGCAACGGCTGTTTCCATCTCCGAGGCACGATGAGACCACCAGGCTTCGCGGTCTTTCTTCAGGCTAGCACGCAGTTTTGCCCTGAGATTTTTACGTGTCTCATTGCATTCGCTTTCAGGCGGAATACCTCGGTGAGCATCCAAAGTTCTAGAGACTGTGTAAAGACCCAATGTCTATGTGGGTAATTTGATTCGCCAGATGTGGACATATCTGCTGATAGTAACGTTTGGCGAATATGCGACCAGTGATGTTGGACGGTGTTCAGTGGACGCTTACTCAGCCCAGATGCCAGCGTAATTTGATAGGCATTCAGATCACCTGGCTTCGCCAGTTGGCTGGTGTCAATGCGCTCAGAGCGATGTTGCGGACGTCCGCTGAAATGCACCCGGAGGTCAGCGCAAACAAGAGCGTGGTCAGAGTCCACGCTGGTGCTCCAAATTAAGCGACAGTTTTGGACTCAGCCTCTCCAGCGCTAACTGATCGCGATGTGATGGATTTGTGTCCATGACTGCTCCGAAGCTGGTGGGCGTCAAGTCACGCTTCTGCGGATGCTGTGTCGGAAGTTTGTGCTCGCAATAAAGGGACGAGTATCTTCACACAGCTGTAGCATTCGCTCACCGTTATCATTGCGGGAGCCTACACTAAATTGGCCGCTCGGCTGAAGCTCATCAGAGGAAAATTTTCCGATTTGGGCGTTTAGATCGGCAACCAACACTAGATTACCCGTGCTTCTTCTGTAACAAAGTTGATCGTTAAGTTGCTGATAGAAATCCTCTTTCACTGAATAAGGGCTGCAGTCTGTAGGGGCGTATGCCGCAATGACAAACGGTCACCGTTTGTTCCCGCGCGACTTCGTAGCATGCGACGAACCAGCTAATCTATCGGCGCACATCCGACTGTTTACTGGGATCCTATCGATCAGGGCGGTTTCAGCTTGGGTACTCAAAACAATGTGGACGCCAGCTTGACTGGCATTTGAGATTGCATCATCGTCAAACAGGCGCAATGAGAATGGGCCGCCAGTGTCGCATGTGGGGGATCGCAAGGTGAGCACGGAGCTCGAATCTTGCTGGCGGGTTTCTGACAGGCAGCAAATATAGATCGATAGATTCCCTAATGTGCGGGCAAGTGCTGCCTGTTGTCAAATCTGTAGCAAAGGGCGCACGTTGAGGCAGACCAGTCTTAGCGAGACTCGAGAACTCTAAAGTGAAACGGATGAACTGACGTTGTCCGCTTGGTTGAAAATGGACTTGTCGACTGGATTGGATCAACGCTCTACGACTGCGTGTGAGTTGAAACCAGAAGACAAGCGACTATTGAAGCAAGGTGAGGGAGGGCCAAGAATTGGGGGATTGAAAATGGTGGGATGAAAGTAAATTTGGAGCGGGACGATTAGGATGAAAAAGCGCACGAAGAGGGATAAGTAGACGTGAAGGCCTGAGCAGTAGCATCCAAAACTCTTCCACCCTGCTCGATGCAGAAGATAGGACGCCGTTGATTATCTTCTGCGATGGCCAGAGCACCAAGAAATTGTTGGAAGAAAGCTTCATTGTATTGCGTAGGCAGAATACTTTCAGGTTGCCCAGGCTTAGACAGGAGAACGATTAGGGTACTCAACCAAAATCCTTACCGCAGGACAGCGGGGTTTTGATATTGGACCACAGAAAGCACGTTTTATGGAGAAAGTAGCCACCCTCATCCCAACCTGGAGGGCTAGGAGACTGAGTTTGTCCGGCCTCTAACCATTGACCAGTCTGGTATGAGTGGCTATGGAGGTACAAAAGCACCACCCAGCATAACTCAGTGGATCGCTGAGGCACACTAGCCATCGCACCACGGTATGGTCCAGCCTCATTGCGACCACCGGTTGTAGCCTGGTTTGTGCATGCTTTTTCGTTAAGACACGAATCATGGCGTTATCAGTTGGTGTAGCAATAAGCAAACCAGTTTCAAACATGCTCTCACAATCTAGTAATTTCGTGTCAAACGAGTGCTCCAGATCAGTGAATCGATAATTCTGTGGTCCAACACGGGTTCGGAACTGTCAGAGTGAAGAGCTAGTTCTTAAAACGCCAGTCGCCGTGAATATTGTGAAAATCTTTCGGTTTACCAATCGGGAACTGAACTTCGCTGTACAAAATATCTAAGCGGGTATTCCAACAGAAATGCGTGTGTGCAACTCATCCTTTGCGATGCGGCCGTGCTCCCATGGCATACTCGAGCTGGCACTTCAGTTTGCGTGACCGCTTGTATTCTTACTAGGTCAGTGCGAGGGCTAAACAAGATTAACCGAACAATTGAGTCATTACTTGGTAACAGGCGTTGCCCGTGGCGATTCGGAAGATTAGGCGCGAGGCTTCAGATGATATCCAAACGTTCCTTTTTCCTTTCGTGGTGCTTCTCTCTTTACTCGATTTGTGCGACTGAGCACGAAATCGCTCTTGGAGTGCAATGGGTTGCGAGCCAGTAATGTCTAATATTTATTATTATTATTATTATTATTATTATTATTATTATTTGTTATTCTAGTGTCCTGACTCAAGACGACCTAATCCTCCGCCAATTAGTGCGCGATTCATTTTGTCACTGAACTGCTCCCTGCTACTATTATCCCAAGCGATACTGGCGGTCGTCTAAGTATCTTTTGGGACTTTCCTTTAGAATGTGGATACTTACGTCTTTCATTTGTCGCTTACCGTTGTATTTTACGATCCTGCATTTGCGCACAGGATTCCACTGCTGAATTCGTTCCACATGGAACATCTGAATCCGAACCACTGGATATTGAGTTCAACTTGGATCAGCTACTGTTGGTTGCTCGGTCCACATCTCCACCCTATGAAACGGTATGGACGTACGAATTCTCATCACGCGTAGCCAAATCGTGGATCTACGATGCATCCACAGAAACGTTGCAACCGGTTCGGTTGTTTTCACGTAGGTAAAAATGTGCGTTTCTTTTACCCTAGGCGTTTATCACATCTTCAGAAATCCTCTGTCTATTACCATGGTCGCTTTGTAACTAGTAGGGGCTTTATTAGGTTTTTGTGTAGATTCGTCGCAGTTAGATACAGGCAGACAGCCACCACACACCTAGGAAAGTGCTAGATGGTCGCTTTTTCCTATTAGGAGACGTCAGTAGCGCGCATCCGCCGAATCTTACCTGATACGAATCCACGACCTTACTCTTGCGAGTCAGCGACTTATGGCACTAAGCCATGGGTGACGGCAGCGGACCGCCATGATTGATATCTGACTGCGATATGGCGCGGCTCATCCTCCACTATCTTGCATGTTATGAATGTGCAGAGGACAGGGCTGGCCCCCAGAGCAACGACTTCCTTTACAAGCCGCCACCAATCGTGGAGTCAATATTTGCTGGATCGATGGTGATTATCTGTTTCCTTATTTACCGAGCATAATTATTTTGGCGGCACCGCTTTCCGATGTATACCTCTTCGTTCTCTTACCTGATTCCCACCGAAATCGACGATTTGCTTAACCCGAAGTATCCATATTGTCATCAGCGTGAATTAGCGCGTATTGCTATAAGATTGTTTGCCGGTCTGAAGTACATACCTGGATTGCCATCGTGTGCTCATTCAAGAGCCTCCTTCTCAAAACCTTAGTAAAGCGTCTAACCCAAATGGTTTTCACTCTTCCTTCGTACACAGTCCCTGTTTTAGCAATACCAAGACAGTGTCATTGTGATAGACGATGACGCGACAGTTTCCGCACCTCTCCGATCTATTGGGCTATACTGAATGTTGTCCTCATGCCAGATGAGCCACAGGTCAGAGGTCAGATGAAATCAATCCGTTAGTCGTTCCGCTTGGGGATTGAAAATGGCATTGACGCGTCGTACGGACCACGTCGTAGTTCCACTGTTGTACTCTCAGCTTTTCGGACAAAGACCTTCGTTGTGTATCCTAGTCGTTCAATTTACGTTCGAACACTAACCGGCATCCAACTCAACCTACAAACATGGTTTCGACCGCAAACCTTAGTTTTGTGAGCCATGCATTGTTCAGCTGCGGTCAACAGGTTGAATATCGTCAGGCTAGTCTCATCAAGAGGTGGCAATTTCTCCTTGAAACTATTCGTCTGAGAACATAGAACTTCTTCGAGCCCTTTTGTCAACAGCTTTACAACCTTTTATACAAAACTTTTGACCCCTCCGCGTTTCACACGACTTATTTTGTTCAGTAGTTTCCGTTTAGTGGTGGGTATTTCCCCTTCATATACTGACTCGCCTCCAATCTTTTACCGGTTCATTCTTTTACAGGTGATGCTGATGCACATTCCTCGATGAAATGGTCAACAGATGATTCCAACTTGATGAAGTCACCGCAGCGATCTTTTAGGAAGAGAGCTTTGGGCAGCCTCATGAACATATTCCGCAACCGCCCGTCTTTCTTATCACAGTTTGGCAGTGCTCGTAGTGCCCAGTGCCCATCGCGTGATCGGCTGGTCTACTTGGGCCTATTGGATGGTCAGCCTTATATCCAGGTACCCAATTTTAAGTATCAATTTTGGGTCTTTTTCTTGTTTCCATACCCTCAGTCGCATCGACCGGTATTGTACTCAACTACCCTTGGGTTTGTACCTTAACTGCTGGATTTGCACAACCATCTCTTACTTGCGTTCATCTTATCACGAAATCGATCTAAGCTCCTAGATTTTAGCCACGCTGTAGTTCGCGCACGCATTGCGCTCACTCTTCCATCTCCAACGAAGAGCTCAACTTGTAGGCTTCTCACCATAACCTTAACCCAAAGTCTGCAATTCAGCAACGTGACGATGAACCTGCCAGCCAGCTGTCAGTGACTAACGAGGTTAATGCGCAGAATTTTGATTGGAATCGTTTCGGATGTGCTATCAATGGTACCCCTTTATCCTGCTGTGCGCCTGACTTGGAACACCTGAACTTCGTTTGCATTTCTGAGTGATCGGACCAAATTTGGTACCCACTGTAGTAACACCTTGAAACAACGACTGACAAGTAGTCTTCGAGGTGACCTGAAAAATTCGTGAGTGCCAACGACCCGTATGGTGCTGTTGAGAACGACTGGGTGCCGTTCCTTCACACTCGCAACACGGGTCCGAGAAAGCCATCAATTAGTGTGACAGTTGCTGAGTCAGATTGAGAGTTAATCCATTCTCAGTTGCTTCGAGTATCCTGCTGGGCTGAACATTATGAAGAGCAGTTCGACTGGCTAGATACTGCTCTTCCGTTTGCTGAATCACCAGGGACCACGTGCGAAATCGGTGTCACGCTAAAAACTTTGAAGAATATTTAACATGAACTCACTGTGTTGAGAGGGAACCCGGCTCCTGTACCCGATGGCTTCCCTAGATCCTCGCTGAATTGTGAAGGTGACTCCTTGTTCATTGGGTTTACGGCTCTGACGACTAGAACTTTTTAAAATCTATGACTAGACATGAGCCATCAAAACCCGTGGAAATCGAACACAGCGTAGGATACTCCATGATTTATTCAGAGGACGCGATATTACACTGTTATCCTAGCCCAACTAAGGAGTTGACTTAGCGGGCACCACCCTGAGCCTTTGACTCGATAGCCTAACCGCAAGGCATAGGATCGAAATCAAGGGGTCTCGCCCATTGAGAGATATCAGCAATACACTGGTACACTGTACCTACGCTTCACTGCCGCGCAACCACCAATAATCGCACGTGGACTACGTGCGAGGGTCTGCCGGTCCCCTATGTAGAATCAAACACGCGCCCTCGGATTACAATACAATTTGCGATCCTTTAGGCTACGCTCCGACTCCTGCCCTTTGGGAGCAGGTGCTAGTTGAAACGCCCAATCTTACAATTTCAACATTAGGCTGTTAGAATGCAATGCTCCACATAAGTAAGCCGGCCCGTAGCCTAAAGGTAACAAGCTTGTGCTGTAATGCGACAGCGCTGGTTCGAGCTTGCGTAGGGACAGAGCAACCCTCGCACATGCGACAGGTGGTGGTTGCGCGGCAGCGGAGCGTCGGTACTGCATACCGGCGTACTGCGGATGCTTCCACAGAAGCAAGGCTAGGGCTGTTGGCTTTATTTAGTGGCTGTTCACATCCGCCACGTAGCATTGTTGTTAACTAAACATTTATGGGCTTTCCATGCATAATCCATGGCGTCCTGGATACCTTCAATTGTCACACTTTCTTCATAAAGGTCGAAGTCCTTCGTGCTTTCTCCAACCAGACATTGATCTTACTTCCATTGCCCCTAAACTTCTCGTGGGTAGCCTTTTGCGGTTACCTATCGGTCCTCATGAGTTTCGATTCATGTAAACCTAGGATGGATTTAGCCCTGGTTATTGCTGTATGGACTAAATATTCAATCTCTGTTTAGTATTCGAAAAAAACAGACGGTCGACTGTGATGGTTTTCCTTGAACGGAAACCCGTTTTCGACTCTGCTGATCGTGCCAGGCGTATCAGAGAAACTCCATTCCATTTTGTATCATCTCTATGTCGACTATTGAAACCGCAAAGTTGTCTCCGATGTTTCCCACGACAAGTGTGTTTCGCCCGAATTGTTTCATATTTTTTGTCCTCTCCAACTTTTTACTCGAAATGATCACGAACGACTCTGTTCTTTCAGTCTCTACCGGAGTGGAAGTTCTGCCAGTTGACCGACTGACAAACCCGAAGCATGCGAGCGACATTGCTATCCTTGTGTCTGATGATTTGGCTATGCAAACACTACTGCACAAACTTGTGCGTGGCGATGCATGGTTCGACACGTGCTTTGCACCTTCCAAGTGCAAAGTGCTCTTTAGGACTTGGCCAATACATCTCCAGGTTCCAACATATCATCGAACAGCCACTATAGGTGCTGGATCGGTTCACTTACCTTGGTAGCTCTGTAACCTCTCGTGGTCACGTTACTGAGAAGGTTACTTCGGGTATCAGCAACTATCGTGTGACTCTCCAGAGACTAACTTGTCTATGGAGACGGCGGGATATCAGTTTGTCAGTGAAAGGCCTTGTTTCTAACGCTGCGATAACGCCGGTGTTACCGAATTTATCAGAGACCTGGCCAGTTCACAGTGAAGATATGAAACACTTGGCCGTGTTTGACCACCTGTGTTTCACGTCTGGTTTGAACACCGGATGAGCATTGCTGAGGTCCACCAGTTGGTTTCTGGCACGAAACCATCAGCTTTCTCACTCGGGTGCTAAAGCTTAGCCGCCTACGATTGTTGGGTCATGTTTTCTTTATGCCCGTTGACCACCTACTTCGATGTGCATTGTGCTCCGTGGCTGCACCAAGTTGGGCGAAACTACAAGGTGAGTGGTCGACGTGTCATAAGACATACAGAAATTGATTGCAAGACTTGGCCATTATCATCATCATGTTTACACATTAGTTGAAAGTGCGAAACCCACTTTAGCTAATATGGCGCGACAAAAAGAGATATGTAAGCAAATAGAACTACAAAATATCACCTACTACTATATATAAGCGCAGCAGGTGATGCTTCGTATTATATTATGCATCAGGTGTGACTACCTGCTTGTAAATGGAAGATAAGCAGGCTAATGGGGGACAAAAAAACGCGCAACACGAACGTCACTGAAGTCGGCTCTTCGCCATACCAACAGGTGTATCCAACCAGATGTGTTCATTGCCCTTCCGCCACCACCCTGGCAGTTGGGATACACTAGCCGACGCTATGTTCGAAATGTGGGCTTCATTCCTGTTGACCAAGTCACATCGATTTTCCTCCCCTCTTTTTCTTCCATCCACAACCCCGGCGCGCAAACCATACTGGTTGCAGGAATCTGTGTGCTGGCATGCGCATACGGTTGCATTGTAAACTCTGTTCTTCAGGGTGAGATTTGTATCTCGCCGACACCACTGGTGATGGAGGTTAGCAAAAGAGCCTCGAGCTTTTTCTATACGGTCGGTGATCTCATCTTCGCATTCCGCAAACGATAATATAGCTTCTAAGATACAACTCTACGACTTTTAGCTGATCTCCACCAAGGGTCAGCACAAGTGTGAGTTCTTACTAATCTTGTTGGAGGACTTTGCATTTCGACAGTGTAACGCATAGCCTGATACGATTGGTAACCAATGCTAGGGCCGCTGATTATTTTATGGAACTGTCATGTAGCTTGGCCATATCGTCTGCGTACTCTGAATCAGGAAGTCGAGAGAGACTTGCTCAGACTGATGCGTGTCTTTTTCATGGATGGTGGTTTCAGTATGGTTTACATCAGTGGTTAGAGTCTCTATCAGGAATGACGTAGTTGCGCAATCAGCGGCATCCCTACATACTATTTCTTGCATACGTCTGTTAATCTTCCATCCCGATTAATTTTACGCACTTCTATCTTGACTCTCTCTTCCTTGTATTCTGTTTGCGTCCTATTTCATTGTTGCTTATTCTTATTCTGGTGACGAGAGTCTTGGCAACTGGTCCCATCAAGTTTTTGTGTTCTATTCATTGTTCTTTTGGTGCAACTGACAAGATGTCTTTCTATACCCGTGTAATGGCGTTTGCGCCATTGATTATGGGTACACTTTTGTCTTGCATAAGACTGACTTGTTTGCAGCTATCAGACTTGCTGGATTGGGTGAAAATCTTTCAGTCGGTTCGAAAGCGGATGGCATCGGTATGAGTCACTCGTTTCTCGCTCCCAGAATTGTCCGAACTTTCTGATGTCCACCTCAAAATCGTCCGAGTTTTGATCTTTTCCTTAACCCATTGTTTCCATCGGACAGCGTGCGTGATGTCCGACTACTCGTCGACACCTAGCCAACTTGCACACCATCTACTGTTTAATGCAACATACGGGTACGAAGATATTCAGTCATTTGTTTTCTTTTTTCTCCACTTTTTTGAATAAATTGTCTTCCTTCATGTTCAACTGGACAGACGTTTGAACAACCGTTTGAGATCTACTCAACCCCAGGGCATCGTTCGTTTTGTTTTTGTGTTTTGTTCTCTGTGTCCTTCATTCAATCTCTAGGTCAACACACAGAAAGTGATGAGACAGTCTGGCACACTGATAAAGGGTGTATATCCGGTTAGGAAGACTCGGACAGGTTGATTGTAGTATAGTGGGAGCATTGATCTTCGCACTCCTGGATAGAATCATTGACGAGCTAAAATGGAGGAAATAGTGGTTGTGATTAATGAGCATGAATGTCAACAAAGTGGATGAATTCGTTTGGAAGCAGCCCTCCAAACAGTTTGGTTTGGTTTTCTCTGCTACCACGTCTGAAATTCGATCCTATAGAGACAAACGGTTTATTCAGCATGATCAAAGCAGCTGTGATTAAGCCACATTTCACCCCGAGAACTTCTACGTATTTAATATTTGTCAGTTTCAACCAACACGGCTTTTGGATTTGATGTTTTTCGTCCTTTGTCTCAATTAAAGTAGCCGCAAGTGGGGGACATCAGCCAATCGACGGTCATGTTGGTGTACGATTATGTATGATACGTTCAATGACTGAAATAGTCACACTCGTCTCCCC